AAAACAATGCTTTCACTATCTAACATGTGTTTTAAATTATTATTATAATGGCAAGTGCATGTGTCTGCTTTTTACAGGAAAAAGATTTTGTAATAGTGGTATATCCACGCATTTTATATACAAATATATATGTATTTATTTCATAGGGAAAAAACAGAGATTAGTTAACCATATATTTGAATCATAAAAGAACAATGCAAGCTTATGTACAACATTCATTTGTTGATCTTATAGTTGAGCTTCTTCTCTCCATTCCTTATTTCAACAAGCTTCACATGTGTTAATCTGTGTGATTCAGAAATAGCCTTAATTTTGCTAGGTGTTTTAGTGTTATATGAAATTATGTCAATGAATGTTAACTAGTCTGTTTTAATTGTTAGTAGGCATGTTACTTTTTTTCCTTCCTTTTCATTATTCTTGAGTGGATTGCACAGTGAAAGGTCACATCATAACAACGGGACAGTAGTTAGCCTTGTCATGTATTTTGACATGTTGTATTATTGAGTTGTGTTTGGCTTATCGAGGATCTGTTGGCAGACTGTTTCTTAGTCAAAATTATCTCAGTTCAAGATCACTCAGTGTTGTCATCTTTACTGACCTAGCTTGTTAGATTGAAATCTTAAACTTTTTCATGGATTTAGGTATTATACAAGAAGAAGATATATTCTTTATAATAAAGTTAAAGGACTTTATTGTTGTTTGTTTATTCCTGATTTTTAATGAATGAATTAAAAGGTGAAGAAATACTCAACTGTATATATCTATGCTTTTCCAACCTATGTTTTATGTCAATAACTTAAAATGCTCTTTGGTCCATCAAACATGCAATCAGTGAAAAGTTGTGGTAATCTCAGCAAATGTCTAATCATTGCAGTAAAAGTAAAATGTTAAATTACACTTATATGCTAAACCTACAAAAATGAGGCAATGAAGATAGGTCCTATTTCCTTTATTTTTATCTATTAAACAATCTGCAGTGAACTTGGGAAAATGTCTATGGCCCATTTCAAGCACCTGAGTCCACTGGGTTTGGTAGTCACTTATGGTTCATTAAATGCTGTGCCATCTATGCTGGTTATGAGTATGTTCATTACTCTTTTGTTGTTAGTGATCTAGTTTTCATAATGGTTACTGAAATTTTTACAGTGCTGTTTATGAGTTTGCCTTTTTTTTTGTCCGATGTGACGATAAATACATGCATACAAAATTAGGAAATATTGAAAAGAATTAAACTTTTTATGATAACAGAACTTGTAGAAAATAAGGAGTTTCTGGTAAAGGAAAAAAGAAATTCTGTTGTAATTCCCAATTTTTACCCTTTCTATGATCACTGTCTTCATATTTATTTATTGATAAAATTATGTTATGGATAATAATGATAATAATGACAGTAACAATAATAATAATAATGATAATAACAATAGTGATATTAAATAATGATAATGATCAATATTATTGTAATCATGATTATAATCATTATCATTATGATTAAATGATAATGATGATGATCAATAATAATGATAATGATGGTGACAATAAAAATGCGATGAAATTGATAGCAACATGGGTAATGGTGATGTGGACTTACAAGATATTCTTTTTCTATGTTTCTACACAGATATTTGTAAACAGCTTCTGAATCATAAGAGTTGTAAGAATGATGTGTAAAGAAGAATTTTACGTTATATGCATTCCATCAGTTGAAAACTTAAGAATATTTGATTGATCTGGATTGTGTTAGTAGGAACAAAACCAAGATGCTTATTGAGGACTTTGGTTTATGAATTGATAAAAGAATAATGCAAAAGTTTTTTTTTTTTCTTTTTTCTTTTTTTGATGGTTTACCAAGCTTATGTCCTTTTTTATCAAATTGAATTTCAAATGTATAGGCTCTGATAGGTAATAGAGTTAATAGGTAATTTTTGTCTATTTACCTACAATACTGTAATCCTGTAAGTAGATAAAATGTTTCTCTGTAAGCAGTAAAATGTATGCAGTCAAACTCAGACTTCTCTTCAACGCCTAGATTATCATCAGATAATGAAAAACAGAACGTTAATGCAACTGGAGAATTGACCCAAGATAAGGTCAAATGGGAAGGTCAAAAAAGAGGTCCTTTTATGAAGAGGAGACGCCACCTTACGCCAGGACTCCGTGTAACAAGTCTGATTCCACAGAAGTTCTGGGAGGAAAGAGGGGAGAACAAAGATGAAATAGCAAAGGAAACTGGATCACTTCAAGATGATTACAAGTTAAATGATGAAAAACATGGCAGAAGTGAAGGGAGTGTGGACTTTGCTTTGACTGATAATGAAATACAAAATTCCAACAAAGGCCCTTGTAATAAAAGTCCAGAAGAAGAAAGCATCAATTATCATTATAGCAACCAGGATCCTCACTTCAAATCCAGACCCCAAAGCTTGAAATTAAGACGGAGATCGCTCAGTGTTTCAGCGAGGTTTGATCAGCTGTTGCAAAATGGTAAGAAAGATGAGAATGAAAAAGAGTGAGACTAGATATCTATGCTTATTAGTGATTACATATCTTTGAGTCTCTGTAAATTATAGGCTTACAATTTTGTTAATTTCAGGTTTCTTAATTACTTGATAAAATTCAAGTCCTGAAATATCTGTGTTCTTGAAGTTTTAAATTTATTAACCTGTTTTTATAGTTTTTATATAATATATATATATATATATAT